GAAGAGCAAAGATGTCTGCTTGAGGACTAAAGTGCGCCTGAACCAAGTCATGGTATTTTCAATAACTTCACATGTACACAAAAGCTGGAAAGTGAATAAAGATCTTATTCATGCTGTTGAGTTATGGTGTTGGAGAATATTTAAAGTGCCATGGGCTGCCATAGGAACAAACATCTGTGTAGGAAGAAGTGGAGCCACAGTACTCCTTAGTGGACAGGATGGGAAACTTCATCTCTCATACTTCAAACATATTGTCAGGAGGGACCACACGCGGGAGAAGGATATCATGCTTGCAAAAGTGGAGCATCAGAGAAAAAGAGGAAGACCCCCAGCAGTCAGATGGATTGGCAAAGAGGCAGCATCAATGGGTTCAATTGTGGCAACAACTGTGAGGTTGGCCCAGCACCTGGCAGTGTTTTGTTTTGTTGTACTTGGGGTTGCTATGAGTTGGTACCAACTAGATGGCACCTAACAATAAGAGCAAAAATAATTGACAAAATTTAGTGATATGAAAATTTAAAGGCACGAGGAAACTCAAATAAACATTCAGTAAATTGATTGAGATGATATATATTACCATCTGTTCAGTTTCCAAAACAAAATAGTGTTGTTTTTTTGTTTTTAAGGTTTTTATTGTGGATTAAGTCGAAGTTTACACGTTTACAGGGAATATCATCAGTTTTACATTCAACAAATCATATACCTTGTTTCATTACAATGATTACACTCCCCTCCGTGTACCATCAGTCAACAGTATTTCTCTCTATCCACTTTAGCTTTTTAAAAAACAAACAAACAAACAAACAAAACCCACTCAGGCATATATAATTTACATCTCCAAAGGGCACATTCTGCAAGTCTGCTCCTGGCCACCAGATCATAGTCTGTCTCTTCATATTCCATGAATCTAGAGTCCTCAGCCACTCCTGTCTCCATGCCCCGAGTCTGCCTCCATCTCTGGCACTGTTGCTTCTCGCAATAAGGTCCCGCATTCTGCTTGCACGTTTCTCTCTTGATGGTCCCAGGGTCCTCTGTTTCGGACTGTAAGATTAACCACTCCCCTTTTTTTGTGCTACAAAACTTCCACCCTTTACAATTGTGACAGTCGCGACCACTCATGATAACAATTACTCACCATTGAATCTTACGAATCTTATTCCCATCTCCCTTCACCAGACCCATCTAGACAAGATGACAGCTAGTCAGTGGGGACTCTTTTTTTCCCCCCATACTCTTAAACTAAGCTCCCTCTTGAAATCTTGTAAGCCAGTCACTTCGTGCCTTTATTGCCGCCTCATTTTAGGTAGCCAATGACTAAGTTGCCCATCCTTATCTACCCTGTGCACAGAGGGGATAGCATTGATACTTGATGTGAAGACTCTTTCCCTCTCTGTTGGTATTTAGAGTAACTACTGCTCTGAGTATAGGTCAGGTTCATCATGAGGATGTATCTTCTGTCACTGCAGCTGTTCCAGTTTGCTTATCCTTCCTAGTGGGAATGTCCCACCTCATAAGATTCTAGATGGGACTCAGGATTCCACCTATGGTCCTATACTCTGTAAAGGCTTTGCACGAGGCCTATTTCACTTGTCAAGTGGTAGAACCCCTTTTAGGTATTCCAATCAGTTATAGGCTGAAGGCAGGCTTGCAAGTTTTCTCTGATGTTTCCCAACATTCCTTTCTATCCACTCAAGTGTCCATTTTACAATAGTAGGCAAGGGAAACTAATATTCATAAGGCCATCAAGGATTTCAGTATCATTTACCCTCTTCAAGCTATACCTAGACCCCTGTATCCCAGAGCTCTGTTGTTCCAAGGTTGAATATGCATCACTATTTCCCTCTGTACCACTAGGCCATGCAAACCTGTCTCTGTATTCCCCTATTTATCTTGTTCTTCCGCCTTCTCCCACGTTCTTGTATTGCGCTCCCCAACACCCAAACTAGACCCCTCACCCCAACCCCATTGTGGTTACCTTATATTCCATTAGTTCTAGCCTCCATTTAAGACAGTCTATTTTATCCAGTAATCTACCTTACCTTCCCACCAGCTGGGTCTCTGTTCCTCTGTGTTTCCCTTCTTTTACATTGTAATTGTTTTGATCATAGACTGACCTCCCAGATCCTCTGTTCTTATCATTTTATTCTGCTCTTTACTCTTCCATTTGTCTATTGAGTTCAGGGTGATGCTGCCACGTATGTCATTCTGTAGTTGTTGTCTGTTCTTGTTGGTTCTCAGTCCACAGAACTTCCTTTAGAATGTTTTTCATAGCAGGGTTGGCTATGGCAAAATCCATAAGCTTCTGTTTGTCATGGAATGTTTTGATTACACCATCATATTTGATTGACAGCTTTGCTGGGTGGAGGATTCTTGGGTGGCAGTTTTTTTCTTTCAGGGTTTTATTTATGTCTCTTGCCCGCATGGTTTCTGGTGAGAAATCTGAGCTTAATCTGATATGCTTGCCTTTGTATATTTCTCTTTTCCTTAGCTGCTTTCAAGATCCTGTCCTTATCTTTAACTTTGGAGAGCTCGATTATTGTATGCCTTGGTGATTGTCTTTTAGGGTCTATCCATCCTGGGGTTCGTTGAGCTTCTTGAAAGCTTATCTTTTCACTTTTCAGGATGTTAGGAAATTTTTCTTCCAGAAGCTCTTCAACTATCTCCTCTGTGGACGTGTATGATTGTTCCTGTTCTGGAATGCCAATAATTCTTATGTTATTCCTCTTCATGTTGTCCAACATGAATCTTAAGCCTTCTTCAGATTTTTTTTTTTTATCCTTTTTTGTGTTTGTTCTTTTATCTTAGTAGTGTTGAGAGATTTATCTTCTAGATCACTAGTTCTGGAGTCTATCTCTTCAATTCTACTCCTTTGCTCCTTCAGTGTATTGTCTATTTCTGAAATTCCATTATTAATCTTTTGGACCTCTTTCTGTAGGTTTTGAATTGTATCCAATGCTGTATCTATCTAATTTGATTGTTCCCGTAGCACTTTCCTGACTTCTTCCATATTTTTCTCAATTCCTTCTCTGGCATTTCCAAAGCCTGCCCATCTTTCAGTATGGAGTGTAGGTCTACTTCCAGTTCATTTGCCTCAGTCACTTTATCTCATTTCTGGACATGTGCAGATATGGTAACCTACTTCTGTTCTTTGGGCATCTTCAGGGGTTTTCTGTGGCCTTAATACTTAGATGGGTGTGTATTTTGGTATTTTTTATGCTTTCTGATTGCCTCCAGGTAGATGCAATCGGGAAACGGGCTTCCCTTTTCACTCTTCTTCTTAAGAAATTTTAAGTTGCCAACTGTTTGTTGTTGTGACAAAACTTAGGATTTAATTTTCAGACTATTTCCTTTTTTGTGTGCTTGTCCCGCTCCACAATCCTTGTTAGGCCTTTTTTCTAGTTGTAAACAGTCCAGGGCCGGCTGCGGCCATTTGGTTTTAAGTGGAAACCATCTCTTTAAATGTTGAGGAGATCTGTGCGCATGCATAGTAGAACCCTCTGAGGGTGGGGCTGGGGTGTCCACTAGCTCAGGCACCCCTACAGTCACCAGAATGGAGGTGCGCTGACAGCAAGGGACCAATGAACAGATACCAAAAGAAAAGAATGTCAACACCTCTATTTCTGTGGCTCTGTCTGGCGTCTATAGCTGCTCTTCCTTCCTCCGCTTGGGCCCACATAAGATGGAGGCTCCTGGTGCAGCTGAACGTCCTGAACCAGAAAGCAATGGATTTCTTGCTTCTGCCACAAACTCACCCAGCTGTAAGCCTTACAACCTTCTAAATATTCCTTTATGTGTGGTTCAGAGTTCTGGGACCATCCCCTGAGCCTGCTTGGTCCTGTATTCTGTGTTGTTGCCAGCAGAGCTACTCACTGCGCTTCCACCCGATCCGCCATCTTGTTTATTCCTCAAAATATTGTTTTAAGTGGCAAATATCATCATATTCTTCTCTGAAGTCTTTTTAGGAAATTATTGAAGTTGTATATTCAAATTCACATCAGCATTAAAATAACTGTAGAGTGATAAATGAACTTAACCCCTGGATCAATTTTTTTTTGGAATTTTTCTTTTTACTGTCTTATTGTGAATTATGTGATAGTTTACATGGGAGAACATTAGTTTTACATTCAACCTATCGTATATTGTTTCATTGCTACGATTACAATCCTCCATGCATCATCACCCAACCAAAGGGTGTACACTACAAACCTTCCCCCAGTCATCAGCACATAGTCCCTCTCTCCCTCTCTGTGTTTAACGTCCCCAACCTGGATCAATTTTTAACCAAGACACAGATACGAATATAGAGGGAATACTATTTAGTAGGGTACTCACTTAGAATAGTCAACCATTTAAGATTAAAAAGACAGTATTCACCTTAGGAAAAAAAAATTTTAAGTGTGGCAAATGGGAAATGGAAACCAGAAACACAAGAGGAAATAGAACTGATGCTACATTGAAGGGCTTGCAATCACTGAGAAAAAACAAACATAGGATATGCTGAATCTAAAAATGATGATCTGCTCTGTAAACTTTCATTCAATTCAAAATGATAGGTTTTTTTTAATGACTGAACAGTAATTTTATAAAGCCAAAATACAAAGACATGTCCTACTTCAAAGGGAAATTCAGGGCCACTAAATTATTGTTATATGGGAATGAGGGCCCTGAATCTCAAGCTCTTTTCTAAAATTCTAGTGAGAAGTTTCCAACTTAGACTATTTTATGAAAGGTCCAGTATTTTTTCACAAGTTGGCAATTGGTCAAAGAAACAGGAAAAGCAAACAATCCCAGGCCAATAAAGAACATAATTCAGAAGTGATCTTCTCTTATAACTGTGTAACCTGTATCATGAAATACTTGAGAACAAGTGTCACCCAAACATTTATCAAGTAGATCAAAAACTTTCAACATAATTCCACAGGCATTTCAAAACTTCTGATCACAGGCACTAATCACCAATGTCAAATATGGATAAAAGGGCTCAGCTGTTAATTACATACCTCAAGGAGAAGAAGGGTTTCCTGTTCAGTCCACTCTCTCCCAGCACTAGCACCTTTACTCTGAAAAAAGAGTATCAGTAATTATTCACTTAGCCTTAAAGGCTGAAGAAGATAAGACTTGGTCTGATTTGTTTCTGAGGTCAGCTGAGTATTTCAAGAAAATCAACAAAGTCTAAACCCTGAATTATAGATGTGAAAGAACTTATGGAACTTTAATTTGCAAGAAGACTCTTTCATTGTAAATATAAAGGACTTATGAACTATTTAATATATATATTACTTCCAGTATCTTAACATAATTTATGAGCAAATGTTGAAATACATACCATGAATTAGCTATAATATTACAAATATACTATGTTTTAAACTAATTACAACTTCATGTTATAATTAATAACTTAAGAATGCTTTTTCATACATTCAAAAACACAATATATGTCATTTAAAGAACTATGATGGCTTACTGCTTTCAATTCTATCAAGTCCATATTATGTCATTTTTAACATCTCTTGATTAAAACAATCCCCACATCTTAGACCTCCCTAGGTGGACATGCGCGTAAATGCTCGGCTGCTAACTGGAAGACCTGAATCCACCCAAGGTGCCTCAAAAGGTCTGGCAATTTAATTCCAACAAATCAGCTACTGAAAACCCTCAGGACCACAGTTTCTAATCTGACATATGTGGTATCATTCTAAGTCACAAGCAAATGGAGGGTAACTGGTGTATTCTTTTTTTATGTTACCATCATAATCTACATATCATGTTGGGGCGCAAAAAATTCTTGTATTTCCAAATCATCTCTCCTGTGTGTCTCTCGTGTATATGATAATTCAGAAAATATGTGATATTAAAATTTGTATAGTGTAAAAATTGTAACCGTCAATTGATTTGTACTTAATTTGCTTACCTTGTCCCTTTCATAGATGTTCAGAGAACTTGATGTGTACTATGCTTCATATTCTTTAGCAGTACAACAACAAAACCCCACCTGCTGCCACTCACAGTGACCCACAAGGGCAGAGAAGAACTGCTCCCTAGAGTAATCTTTGTGGAAGAAGACTGTTACATCTTTCTCCTACAAAGCTGTTGCTGGTTTTGAACCACCAACCTTCCAATGAACAGCCAAATGCTTAACCAATGTACCACCAGAGCTTCTAGTTATGCTATTTATACAAAATATATGTTCTCAATTAAGACTGGAGAAATATGTGGGACTACTGTCCTGATAAACTCTTTATTCCTTAGGGTAAACTAATACCTGAAGTCACCTTTCAAAGTAAATAGTTAAAAACGTGAAGAACGTAATCCGTGAAAACATTGCTCTTTTAAAACTCTATCCATATGGAACCAGATAGATAAGTTACTCAACTCAGGTAATGAAAGTGAAAAAATTAGAAAGAAAATAGTGTGAAGGGTATTACCAATGTCATTGAATACTACGTGTATTAAAACAATTAACAGAGCAAATATAGCACAAATATGTTCTAACATAATATTCCTTTCCACATCAACTGTACTTCTGAAGACAATTTAATAAATGAAGAGAAAGCTGTGCCATTAAAAGTTCTCAATTTAAACACCCACACTTGCAGGTAATACCCACTTATCCTGGCTCAACCAGAAGTAAAAAGAGGAAAGAAAGAAAAAAAAAAAAAGTATTCTCATACAATTTAATGAACTTGACCTACACCTATGGAAGCAGTAGCTCAAAAGAGGGAACAAGTCCTTACAGCAAGAATCATTCCCACTCCCTCCACACACAGAGTACACAGGGATGGGCAACTTGGACATTGGCTACCCAAAATGGGGGTTGGGGGCTACAAAGGCAAGAAGTGAATGGCTTACAAGCTTTCAAGAGGGAACCTAGATCCAGAGGGCCTGGAGGAAGGTAGAATCTCCAGTGAGTAGTATTCAGTCTGTCTAGGTGGAGCTGATGCAGTAAAATGCAGACGGGTCTCGTGTGATACAGTAGTGAATAATTGTTATCAGGACTGACTGTCAGGGTCGGAAATGTAAAGGTAGACGTTTTACAGCAAGGAATGGAGTGATTAACTTTTTCAGTCTAGGAGTGGAGGTCCCTAGGACCTACCCAGAGAAGCAGTGATGCCTGAAATGGAGCCAGAGATGATGACGTGGAGCAATGGAGTAGCTGGAGACTTTAGATCAAGAGAGGGGGAGCGATTGTGTGCTAAAGTCCTGGGGGGTACGGGGGAAGGATTGCAGGGTATACCCTCTGGTTGGTTGATGATGCATGGAGGGGATTGTAACCATGGCAATAAGACGATATACGACAGAATGAATGTAAAACTATCACATAATTCACAATAAAACATTTAAGGAAAAAAAAAGTTCTCAATTTAGATGATGCCATGTACACATATACTATACACTGCCAGTAAAATATTAAACTATGATTTTCTATGGACTCTATGGCATTTATCCATAGGATTCTAAAATATTTGCTCATTTAACTAAAAAATAAAAAGGAATATAAGCACTGCTGAGTTATTCCTAAAGTATGGTTGTATGAGAACGAAAATATTCATAGAGCTCAAACTCATGATTTTATTGGTATAATCCCATGAGAATTATATTAAGACAACCAAAGGTGCTAATGAGATTTGGAATCCAAAGAGGAATTAACTTTGTTAGCATTTCATCTAGATTTTGAAGAAGCAAAATCTAAAGACAGGGAAGATTTATCAAATTCTAAACGTAGACAGCATTTACTGGACACCTGTTGATAACTAGCTCAGGAAAGGCAGCAGCATTTTTACTTTCCAAAACCCATCTCTTTATTTTATTAATTTTCTCTATTGTTTTTCATTTATTTTGTACTTATCCTCATACTTCCTTCTACTCATTTTGAGTCTATTCGTTTACTACATTAGCGAAATGGAAACTAAGATGGTTGATATAAGAATGTTTTCCATTTTTAATAATTAGAAGCTATGAATTTCCTTCAAAGTACAGGCTTAGTGGTACCTAAAAACATCGATATGCTGTGGTTTCATTTTCTTACCATTTAAAATATGTTCTAATTGCATCTGATGTTTATTCTTCCATGAATCCTGAATTATTTAGAAGTTTAATTTCCAAATACTTGATTTTTTTCACGTAAATTCCTATTACTGGTTTACAGTTCAGATCAAGAATGTGCTTTATGTGCTTTCAATCCTTTTAAACTGATCTTTTCATATTTCTGAGCAGCTTTTGGTTCAAAGGAACATGCATTGAGTTCCTTACAGATGAGAACTGCCATTGTGAAGTAATGTAAATCATAATAACCTAGACAGAAATCTGTTAACAAACAAGTCCCTAATTTGATATATTTTTTCAATAACAGTTTCTATAATTTTGAATTAATACTTTTTGACATACACTCATAATTAATATGATTAAGTCTAACAAAACGTTATAGTTGTGTGTCAATATGTGGGTTCCAACTCACAGCAACCTTATTAGGGTTTCTAAAAATAATTGGTGGGTTTGATGGCTTCCTCAGTGCTTATCCTACAGTACTACATGAGGGCTCATTTGCTATTAGTCTTCAACTTTTACAATCTTTTCACCGTTTCATGTTTTCACCTTGACTTTCTCCATTCTCTTCAGTTATTTCTACTCTTTTTTTCCTTTCAATAAAAAAAGTCACTCTATTAAATTGCTATTATTGACTTATCAGCTTTACCTTTTATTATTAGTTGCTCCAAGACTTAAAATACTCATCTCTCATCTTTAACCTTGAAATAATATTTAGCATTTCATGACAATCCAAGAATCATAATTACACTTTCATTTCCACCTCCTATACTTTGAACTACTTTTGGTCTTAATGTCAACATACTATAAATCTAAAAATACAGTTATAATTTTTGTTTTAAATAGTCAATCTTTTTAAAGGACTATAAAAAGCCAAAAAAATTTCTTTTATATTGAAACACATTTAAGTACCTTCCTGGTACTTTTTATTTTGCATAGTTCAAGTCCTTCCTCGTTGTGAAGTGATGTCGAACTGAGTCAGTTCTGATCCATAGCGACCCTGTATAGGTTTTTCGCGGAGTGACTGGTGAGCTTGAACCACTGACTCTGCAGTTCAAACAGGTTTGCAATCTGGCAACATTAATCCACAATGCCATACCAGGACTTAGTATTCTTTAAAATATTAATAGTTTTCCCTGAATTATTATTTTATAAAATTTCTTAAATAATGCCAGTACCTGGTAATAGTTTAACATAATCTCACCTCCATCTTTGCACCGTTTTTGTCATTTCTACATGTTAAACACACTTCCCACGATTATATTTCTCTAAACACTCAATATTCTTTTGCATTTAACCACAAGTTAGTCTTTTCTGTCTTCTTGATTCCTTCTCATATACATGTGCTAATATCAGTAAAAATTTCACTTCATACTTTAGTTTTTTTATAGTGTGATCTAGTAAAAAACTGAATTACCTTTTGCATAGAAAGTATAATTTTTTATCAGAAGGTGCATCATGACTACTTCCTCAATTTTGAGAGGCATTTTCATTTGTTGTTGCTAGGTGTCATCAAGTTGGTTCTGACACATAGTGAACTCATGTATAACAGAAGGAAATAGTGACCATTCCTGTACCATCTTCCCAATTGTTGTGATACTTGAAGCTTACTAGACGTTCAATTTTGCAAGTTATGTCCATAAGACAACAATTTCCAATGTGAGAGATTTTTTTTTATCTCTAAAGATGTTACTACTACAATGTCGGTGTGGCACTGTGCATTAATGTACTAAACTGCAAAGTTGTCTGAATAGCAAGGTCGGTGGTTCAAGCTTACCAGCCCTCTTGGAAACCCAATACAAGGTTGCTATGGGTCAGAATCGACTCAAAAGCACTTAACAATGTACTCTGGTTTCCATCATTTCTGTTGAAAATGTATCCTTCCTTTATATTATTCGTCCTTTTAATAAATCCTCAATCACCAACCCGCCCACTGACTTTCGGCTGCTTTTAGCCCTTTAAGCATACCGTGTATGAGAATGGTTTTCTCTATCCAAATGTGGAATAGCTCATCCTCTTATCTTTGAGTTAGCTTTATTATGAGTTCTGAAAGTTTTTCAGTCATTTCATCTCTAAACATTTCTTTTGACCCATTCTTTCTCTTCTTGTGGGACTCTAATTATAAATATTAATTATTCTGAATATAGCTCATGTGCCTTCTTTTATTCTTTGTTCCCTCCTTTGCCTCCCATTTCTTTTTCTCTAGGTGGTTAAGTTTCAGTATATCTAGTAACCTGTCTTTCAAGTTCTCTAATTGTATCTTCTAATATGAGTTCATTTCAGATATATTTTTCAGATCTAAAATACTTGATTCTTTGGATACATTTCAATGAATTCTTTTGCAATTCTCCATTTTTCCTCTATTTTAATATGCTACAGTTCATATAAAGCGAGGAGTCCTGGTATGGAGCTGTAGTACAAGCACTCAACCGCAAGGTTGGGTTGAACCAGAAGCTTGGCGGTGCAAAGTCACTGTGCAGCCTAGAAAACCCTGTGTGAGTTGGTCGCTATGAGTTGGAACCCACTTGACGACACTTAGCAACAACAAAAACATAATAAAGTACCTAGTTTCTAACCATATTAAAGAAAAAAGATGAATGATTTTTATTTCAGGAAATTCCGAAGTAAGACAGAAATGAACAGGAAGCTCTTGTCCTTCCCTCCATGGCTTCTTATGGAAATGGATACTTACTAGAAAGAACAGGAATAAAGTATTATGTTGAATTTAGTTTTTGAGGGTCTAGGTAAAAATGCTTACCTTTGCTAAGGTTTTCTTAGAGTAAATGTCAGTACGAAGACCAAAGTTTTGTAAATCAATTGGTTTTTCCTTGTTCTTCTCAGGAAAATTTAACATCTGCTGAGCAGCAGGGATCTATGAGTCAGATAAATGATATATGGCTGTATTAACCTATACAAAGTCAAGGGGATGTCATTTTAAAAAAAGAATTATTTAAAACAGGAATGTAAACAATTGCAGCTTTGTAATCAGAACTACAAGCCACACTTGTAACAAAAATTGAACATGCAATAACCATTCTTGTGTCTCACTTCAGTTACAGACAAAAAATTTTAATATAATCTTCATTCCACAATGAGGAGAATTACAGATATTTTTCATTTTCTATTAGGTGTCAGTATCTTCCTAATTTAATGCTTTGATGTAATAATCTTCACAAGAATGTGCATATTAAGGTCTTCCTTCCAAATAACAGATAAAGTTATAAATTAATTTTATTCCCAGGATGTAGGTTGAAGGAATGGAAAAAAGTATAATATACTTTCAAGTACTACCTCCTGAAGATACAAAGAGAGATACAGAATAAAATAATCTACATAATTTGATAGGCAAAGGCACAGAATTCTGGGTAGGTAAATGATTTTACATTAATCACTATTCTTAGGGATGCAAAAATTTCCTGTAGATTAAAAAAAGAATCAGCTATGAAATAGCACATCTAATAATAATGACTCCTAAGTAATGCAAGAAATGTCAGGTATAGTGGGAACCAACTTGACGACACTAAACAACCATGACTATCATGGCCTGAAGAAAATGAAGCAATAGTTTACCTGAGGTGATCGAAGGTGAAGAGGCACAAGACCAGACGGAGTATCAGCTAACACATTGAAATGAGGAGTAGGAGGAGGTCCCATTGCCATGGGTCGACTTTCAGGATCTACTTGATAATTGACAAGCCCCCATTGCTCTAAAAAGGCATGGACCCTAAAGAGTGAAGTTTTGAAAGTTAAAATCTATCAAACTTATCTCATATCCTTCATAATCAAAACACATTAAAAAACAAAAGATAAAGGTAAACTTGTTTCCTATAGGATGTAAACTACTACAAACTACCTTTCAATTTTAGCTTTAATTTATAAGGGATATTTTCTACAAGTTCAATACAATGTTCTAATACACACCCAAAAAACAAATAAAGCATAATTGTCTTAGCGACAGAAATTAAAAAATACATGTTGATTTTTCACTCAAAGAGAAAGAACTAACAAATAACCTCTAACTTCACTGAGACTCACATTTTGTTTTGTTCTTTAGACAAATCTATGGCACGGAATTAATTTACCCCTTGTCTCAGCCCACCCTTTATCCATGGTGATTTTATAAGGTCCCTGTGTGGTGCTGTGGTTAATGCATTGACCGCAAGGTTGGTTTTAATTGCAAGATCTGCAGTTCAAGCTCACCAGCTAATCCTGAAAACACTATACAAGATCAATATGGGTCAGGATGCACCTCCACGGCACTTAAAAACAACAACAACAAAAAATACAATACAAGATATAAATTTAAAAACTTAAGAAAAAATGGTAAGGCATTGAAAATATTCAACTCTTACAGGAAAGATGTAAGATTTAAGTGATTGTTTAAAATGGATGCTTTTTGTTTAATAAGTCCAACATTAGCTGTCAATTAGCAACATGTCTGAGAAAAGAAACAGGCATTTAACCTCATCACAGCACACACATCTCCAGTCAAGTTCCTCCGACAGGCAGTGCTGGTTAAATACTCTTGGGGATTTAGACGATAAGTATCAATCATGAAATTTCGATATGCCAGGTATCTAAAAAGCATCAGGAAAAATAAGAAACAATAAATCATAGTGCTAAATATCTTTAGATTTTTCTAAACAAAATACAGCAAAAATTTTAGACAACAGTCCAACAAAGAGCATTGATATTGTACTCATGATCATAAGTAAAACTTAGGGCAAGAGCCTAAATATGTAAAGAGAAACAGTAAACAAACAAAAATACCCTGTTTATGTTTAATAACAAAAAATAAAAGAGTTATCTGAGAAAAGCTGAATGTGAAAAAAATACACTAGAAACTTGATCACAGAAGATAATGGATAAATCCTTGGTTACCTTAATTAAGACTTTGAAATTAACAAACGGCTATTTCCACAACTACCTTGTATATACAGTATTTACTTTGTACTCATCTAAGAATTTTTCAAAATGCTTTCCATATAGTATTCATATACACTTCATAAATCATCCTATTAGGTAAGACAGATTAACATTTCATTTCCAGATGAGGATACAGAAGCACAGTGTGGTGACAGATTTTTTAACAACCAAGAGCAATTCTGGAATCCATACTCCCAACTTCTACTCCATCTCATTTCTATACAATTCCTTAAAGCAAAACACAGATATGGCTCTAATAATGGCTATTTGTACAATGTTGTATATCTTCTGGCACCCATTTTTAATAGGTTCCCAACTGGGGAATAATTTAGAATCAGTGAGGTTGAACTCATACATAAAACAAGAATATATGATGAGTTACAACAGATTCCACAATGTACCTAAGCATGTTCACCACAAAAGATTAAGAAAGTGATCTCTAGTAAAACTTTCTAGCACACTTTCTCCTTCCAAATAAATGTTTTTCTATTTCCAGTGCTAGCATAACAATGTATTCCATAGTTAAGATCACATTACATGCAATTCTATGCAACAGACTGCAATGTTGTTTGAATAGCAAGGTCAGTGGGTCAAATTCACCAGCTGCTCCTCAGAAACCCTATAGAGGGTCGCTATGAGTCAGAACAGACTCCACCAGCAGCACTTAACAACAATTATCACATGTAGTCATTAAAGGTTCTATTTTCTTCTATATTTATACCTATATACAATCCATAACAAATATAGACAAAAAACTTGGGAGGGCTTAGAAGAAACTGAACTCATTTTAGCAAATACCCTTTACCAAATTCAATCTTTAATAATATTAGAGAGTAAGCCAACACACATGCCATTCAAGATTTAGGAGGAAGACAACAGAAACTATTTCTTTTGAAGCAAGAAGGCTGTGCAACTGAGATATGAACACTGTTTTAACTTAAATAAGAATCAATAACTCAACAGTACTAATACCAACACACACATATATACATACACATTCTGAACACTGATATCGCTGAAGTATATAATAGTATTGAAATTATATCTTTATACTTCACTCACATTTCTGGAGTCTTGGATTTATTTTTCCCATTGAAAAACTCAGGAAGAGCACGGCGTTCAATCACATGAATACTAAAAGAAAAGAAATTGGCAGTCTTCAGGAAAAAGAATAGTTTAATATTTAAAATGAGTTTAATTTCAAAGTAAATCTAACAAATAAAAAAGCTGAGCACTACTTGTCAAAAACTAATGAACTTTCACAAACCCTTTTGAATTAACAGCATATAATTAAAGTTACAGAAACTAAGCTTTCCCTTTTTCATCTCCAGTAGTTATTATAGGTTATGTATTCCTATAACAGTATTTCTCTGCTATTCGTACATAATCATACATTGATAGAGAACTTCCAGAGGTTCAAGCCAGATTCAGAAGAGGCCGTGCAATTAAGAATATCATTGCTGATGTCTGATGGATCTTGGCTGAAAGCAGAAAATATCAGAAAGATGTTTACCTGTGCTTTACTGACTACGCAAAGGCTTTCGATTGTGTGGATCATGACAAGCTATGGACAACATTGTGAAGTATGAGTATTCCGGAACACTTAATTGTACTCATGAGGAATCTGGACCTGGACCAAGAGGCAATTATTTGAACAGAGCATGGAAACACTGAATGTTTTAAAATTAAGAAAGGTGTGCGACAAGGTTGTATTCTTACACCATACTTATTCAACCTGTATGCTGAGCAAATAATACGAGAAGCTGGGTTCTATGAAGAAAAACGTGGCATCAGGATTGGAAGAAGACTCATGAACAACCTGCTATATATATGCAGATGATATAACCTTGCTTACTGAAAGTGAAGAGGACTTAAAACATTTATTGATGAAGATCAAAGAGTACAGCCCTCCGTATGGATTACATGTCACTATCAAGAAAACAAAAATCCTCACCACTGGACCAATAGACAACATTCTTATCAACGGAGAAAAGATTGAAGTTTTCAAGGACTACATTCTTCTTGGGTCAACTATCAATACTCACAGGAAGCAGCAGTCAAGAGATCAGATGACGTATTGCGTTAGGCGGATATGCTGCACAGGACCTTTATAAAGTGTTGAAGAGCAAAGATGTCAACTTTAGGACTAAGGTGCGCCTGACTCAAGCCATGGTACTTTCAATAACCTCATATGCATGCGAGAGCTGTACAGTGAATAAGGAAGACTGTAGAAGAATTGATGCCCTTGAGTTATGGTGTTAGAGGAGAATACTAAAAATCCCATGGGCTGCCAAAAGAACCAACAGATCCGTTTTGGAAGAAGTACAGCCAGAGTGCTCCTTAGAGGCCAAGATGGCCAAACTTCGTCTCTCTTTGGACATATTGTCAGGAGGGAACAGTTGCTGGAGAAGGATATCATGTTTGGTAAGGTAGAGGGTCAGAGAAAAAGAGGAAGACCCCCAACGAGATGGATTGGCCAGGTGACAGCATCGATGGACTCAAGCGTGGCACCAGTAGTGAGGCTGGCCCAGAATCGGACATCATTTTGTTCTGCTGTGCTTAAGGTCGCTATGAGTTGGTGCTGACTGGATGGCACCTAACAACAACAACATTCCTATAACAAGACTTTTTTGCTTTATCGTTGTAACCGATGATGATAAGATTATGAATCACATGCTCAGAAGAATTCTTTGGATATTGGCTAACAAGAATCAAAGTAGGATTGTGTGGCAACATAGTGATGAAGTAATGGTAACCAGGCAAAGACAACAAATTTATAATAATCAGTTTTACAGGTGTGGAGTTGTGCTGGACTATAAGGTCAGCTTGAATAATGTGGTGGACTACAAGTTCAGGTTGAATTGCAAGGTCTGAAGTTCAAACCCACCAGGTGCCCCTTGGAAGCCCTATAGAGGGGTCACTATGGGTCGGAACTGACTCGAAAGCACTTAACAACAACATGCCCTTAAAACAGTGTGCAGTGAATGTTTTGTTTCTAATTTAAGAGATAGGCTTTTATTAAGATCATATTGATTTTATTTAAAAAAATTTTGTGTGTGTGTGGTGTGGGTTAAAGTTTATAGAGCAAATTAGTCTCCCACTCAGAAATCTAAATAGTTAGTTTTGTGACATTGGTTGCAATCCCACCAATGCGGAAAAAAAGGACTCTTAATCACTTCCTCACTGGGTTCCCCATTTCTATTTTTACCTTCTCTTCCATACTGATAATTTTTAACATTTAGAAAATAACAATGGTAACTTTGCAATATTGCTACTAGACTTAAGGTATAAAGAAATGATACATGTATATTTTATTAGATTGTAGAATCTTAAAGGTACATAAATAAAAATCAGATCTATCCTTAGAAAATAGTAATGCATTATTATAAAGAATAGACCCTTGGTGTAGCACTGTAGGAAGAGCACTGGACTAAGAACCACAAGGTCAGCTGTTCAACCCACTAGCTGCTCCTTGGAAACCCTATGAGTCAGAACTGATTCAACAGCACGTTACAGCAACATTATAAAGAACAGGTAGCAAGGCCAAGAAGAACCCTTCAATTTTGGTACAGAGGAATCCAACTGATATTTGTATGTTGAGCTTATATGCTGCCACTTTGCTGACTCTTTCAGTGAGTTCTAGTAGCTTTTTTTTTTTTTTACTGAATCTTTGGGGTTTTCTATGTATAGGATCATTTCGTCTGCAAACAGAGAAGAGTTTTACTTACTATTTGCCAATTTGGATGCCTTTAATTTCCCTGTCTTGCTGTATACCTCTTGTTAAGACTTTCAGCACAATATTGAATAGGAGTGGTGACTAAGGGCATACTTGTCTGGTTCCTATTCGCAGAGGGAAGGCTTTCAGTTTGTCTCCACTGAGAGTAATGTAGGCTGTTGGTTTTGTATATATGCTCTTATTAATTATGTTGAGGAATTTTCCTTCAATTCCTATTTGTTGAGTGTTTTTATCAGGAATGGATGCTGGATTTTGTCAAATGCCTTTTCTCCATCAATAGATATGATCATGTGGTTCTTTTCTTTTTTCTTTTTTATATGGTGGATAACGTTGATCGTTTTTCTAATGTTGAAGCATCCTTGCATCCCTGATACGAATCCCACTTGATCATGATGTTTTATCTTTTTGATGTGTTGCTAGAGTGTGTTGGCTAGGATTTTGTTGAGAATTTTTACATCTATGTTCATGAGGGATATTGGTCTATAATTTTCTTTCTTAGTGAAGTCCATCCCTGGTTTTGTTATGAGGGTTAAGCTTGCTTCATAAAATGTATTAGCAAGTTTTCCATCCTCCTCTATCTTCTGGAATAATTTGAGTAGAATTGGTGACAGCTCTTCCCTGAATGTTTGATAGAACTCACCAGTGAAGCCATCTGAGCCTGGACTTTTTTTGGTTGCGAGTCTTTTGATGACCTGATCAATTTCTTCTTTTGTTATGGGTCTGTTCATGTTTTCTGCCTCACTGGAAGTTTAGGTAGGTTGTGTTTTATCTAAAAATGTATGCATCTCTTGTAAGTTTTCAAATTTTGTTGGAGTACAACTCCTTCATAGTATTTTGTTATTATCCTTTTGATTTCTTTTGGTTCGTTGTGACATCTCCCATGTGGTTTCTAATGTGTGTTATTTGTGTCGTCTCCTTCTTTTCTTTTGTGAAGTTTGCCAATGGTCTGGCGATTTTGTTAATCCTTTCAAAGAACCAACTTCTTGTCCTGTTGATTGTTTCTATAGTTTTCCTGATTTCTATCTCATTTATTTCTGCTCTAACCTTTATTATTTCTTTTCTTTTGGTGGCTATAGGTTCCCTCTGTTGGTCTGTTTCTAATTGTTGTAGATAAAACCCTTCCATTTTAAGTAATAGCAATGTACACAAACTCGTGAATAAAATTACTTTAGAGAAACATTTATTTGGAGACGTAAATTCTGGTATATATATTTAAAACTCCAAAACAAAAATCAGCCTAACAGGATATAGTCACAACTCACAAACAAGGAATAATGCTACGTAGGACTCCAGATATGTCCAACACTGCTGCATGGATGGTCAGTAACAAGTTGGTAAAGAGACCTGTTTCATTGAAATTTTTCACAGCTCGGGGTTTAAATTTGTAAAAAGTAACACTGCTAAAGTGTTTCTTATTAAACTGTGGTTATTTATGAGTAATGAGATCTACTTTTTTCTACACATATTATGTAGGTTTCTAAGATCATATATTCTTCCTGTTGTTATTTACCATCCTTAACAGAGTTTCTGAAGCATTAAATCTTTTTAGGAATAGAAAGCCTAATCTTTCTCCAGTAGAGTGGCTAGTGGGCTAAAACTGCCAATCTTGTGGTTCACAGTTCAGAATTTATAATACACATCAGTTTATATCATTATTCAATATTCAAACATTTTGTCTGTGCCATAACTGGAAGAAAATTAGATAGACTCAAGGCTATAAAATTTTTGACACCTAAATTACTACACAAATCTAGTTTAGAAGCCTAGGTAGTTTGAAAGAATACATCCTTTATACAGTATAACACCGATTACTGACATGGCAAAATGGCAGAACATCTATCAAGGAAAATTTTACTACTATGTTCACAGATATGAATGGCCCACTCACCAATTATAATCAAACCATGATGCATAGCTTGGAATTATAATGTGATTGGTCTGCTCTGTCACGTTATCTTCACCAGGGTCAACAGACCGACTCTGATCACCTTTGCTAGGATCTTCATCTTCCTATAGGAAAGAAACTAAAGTTCAGAGGTAGAGATACATGGCATTTCTGATTTATGGAAGGTTTGCACATATATCCAAGAGTATCAGAAATGTCCTTTATAAAATTTTCACCAAAATCCGTAATCTGATCACAGAGTGCACACTGCGTATGTTTCCTAGTTAAATTTCTTTAAGCGTTGTCCTTTGGAGGGGCAGGGGTGCTTACAAGGGAAGTTATTTTATGACATTATAATTTTTAAAGAATCTAGAAAAGGTATCAAAAATTTTATCATTACCTTCATGTTAAAGATTTCTATCAAGAAAAGTTTATTATATAAAATAAATTTTTTGATATTTTTAGTCTCTCAACCTTTACAATGTTTCTTGCTCCATAAAAATGCTTATCGATTATGAAAGAGAATTTTATATACTTGTCATTTCCCCATAATTTAATTTCTACTTTTAATTTAATTGAAATGGAATTTCCTGTACTATATATTATGAGGTGAGGATATAGTACTACTTTTTTATGATCAATGAATATATAAAATAATTTACAGAATGAATACACACCAAGGAAACACTGTTACTAAAATACTGTTGAAATAAATACAATACTCATATCAAAAGTAATGGAATCCTGGTGTTGCGCTGTGGGTTAATGTACTGGACTACAAAGTCGATTTGAAATGTAAGGTCGGTGGTTCAAGCGCACCAGCTGCTCCTAGGAAACCCTTTACAGGTCATTATGGGTGGGTACTGACTCGACGGCACTTAACAACAATATCAAAAGTAACAGGTCTTATTTTCTATATCAGAGAAGCTACCAAATACTTAGGTTCTAGGTTAACACTTTTGTTTGGTTTGGTCAATGCATTTCTGAGACAGTTTTCACAAATTCAATTGTTGCTGTTAAGTGCTATCGAGTCGATTCCAACCCATACTGACCCTGTATAGGGTTTCCAAGGAGCAGCTGGTGAGCTTGAACCACCAACCTTGTAGTTCAAACGACCTTGCAGTCTGGCGCATTAGTCCACAGCACCACACCAGGACCCCACAAATTCAGTTAGGACACAAGATTTCCTTGATTCAGGAAAACCACAGTAAGAATGGTATTGAAATTACTGAAAGCCAATGAGTTGTTCTCCCCTATCTTAATATGATCCATTCCAGCACCCCAGTGGATACCTGAAACTGCAGATGACACTGAATTCTGTATGTACTATGTATCCTGGGTGCCCCAGAAGGTCAGCATTAACCCATTGGACACTGGAAGAGCATACTCACCAAACTGTTTTCTATGCTCACACCAGTAGAAGAGGAAGCCAGCTCCAGTATCCTAGAGCTGGATGGTGCCAAATTTAAGCACACACTTAAATATTTTCAGACAACAGCTGAAGACTGGTCATTTCAACTTTAGAAAGTAAAACCTCACATGAGGGGAGACATTGGTAGTCACAGGTTTTAGTTATCACAATGGGAAAGCAATCAGCAAAACAATTTTTAACCCTTTTAAGTTAAACTAGGCAAGGGACTGATTCACAGATTCTAAAGTCACCATGTACTTGAATTAATAAAATTTGGGAGGTAAATTCTTTTGAATCTTATTTTGAACTCTTTAACTACCAATCAATACTATTTATGCTGAAAAATTGTGTCATTTTACAAATGCAGTATTCCTTTTTCTACAAAGAGTTCTTTGACAAAAGAAGCATGACTTTTAGAGAAAGAAAACCATTAAGAACAATTCAGTTGAAGACCACATGTTTTTGAGCTTACCAAAATATTTTTATTGGAAATCACATTATAATTTCACTTCTATAATGCAGATACAATACATGATATAATACAGGGAACAAATCTTAATATTCAATAGGGAAAAAAAGAACTGACAATTTTTACCAAATAATACTGATGTTTTAAGAGGAAATTAGAGCTTATATTTAGCAATTATAAAAAATGACAGCCTAAATGATAAAATGGAGCATTTCTCAATAATAGAAAATACTGTCTTGAAATCAACAGGTAACGAGCATAATTATCAGTGTGTTTCTACAGTCAAATTGTGATGTAAGATGTGGATAACTTTAACACTTAAGAAAAAACGATGAAAACGCTACATGGGTCATCAAGTAAGGCTGTAGCAATGGAAAGAATATCAATGATAAGGTCAGCTCGTCCAGAGTGTGGGAACACACATGGAAAACTGGTCAGTTCTGATTACTATTTGGCAGCTAAGAAAGATATGAATCTGGAAATAATTTGATAAACACTACACCTAAGAAGAAGAAGGCTACCTGAAAACCTGATGAATAGCAGTGGCTCACTGTAAGCAACAGAATATTGAATACGTAAACATGATGAAAAGCACCAGAACAATGTCAGACATAGTGCCTGGAGATGAGCCCCTCAGGATCAGATAGTTTGGGTGCCCAGTGCCATGCCCGAGCGGGGCGGGGGTGATTGCAATACACAGAAGGGGGAGGAGAATGGAACAAGGCAAGATGGGGGAACAGTTAGGCAGGTTCCCATGGGCCAAGTGGGACACAGGTAAATGAGGATATATATGCACAACCTTGGGACAACAGCGGTTCAGGATACAGGGATTGTGGCATGGTTTCAATAAGGGGAATGATGTTAAGATGCTTGGCTGCCTTTTCAATCTTAGTTTCCCTTGCCTACCAGCAAGTGTAGCAGTTATGAATCGGGCTAACCTCAATGTTGGAAGTTCGAAACTACCAGCTGTTGCACGGGAGAAAGATGAGGCTTTCTGCTCCCATAAAGATTTGCAGCCTCGGAAACCCTGCTCAGTGTCACTATGAGTTGGAACTGACTCCACCGTACTTAACAACAACAACAACCATTGTGAAACAGACATGTGAGGGGGGGTAGAAAGGAATAGCAAGAAATATCATAATAGAAAGCATTTAAGTTTGTCTTCAGCCTATAACTGACTGGATACCTTAAGTTACCCTGTGAAAGAGGTGGTCTGTGGAGCTTTTGCATTGCAGAATGACCATAGGTGGAAACCAGAAGCCCCTCCAGAATTGTCTGAGGTGGGACATTTCCACTGGAAAGAACAAGTACACCAGCCTGGAGCAGATAGAAGAAAAGAAGACACTTCATGAAGAAAGACCACCAAGAAAAATCAGAAACAATAACGGCAGTCTGATAGAGTACTATAAGAATAAGCGAGCTGTTCGCCCAGGAGCCATCAAGGCAAGTGACCGGGTCCACTTAGAGCAAACTCCCTTCTAAGACTAAGACTCAAGGGAAGTACATGAGCAGGCATTTGCTCTGGCTGGTGACCACGTTGGTCACTGATAAGGGGAAGACGGGGGTAAAAACAGCAATGAATTTGGAATCTAAGTCCGACCACATTCAATATGCCACTCACTATGAACCCAGCTGGAGACCTGGATGGCCAGCAGTACAGTATAGCAAGACCCAGCCAACAAACATGAAGAAATGTTCATGATCACTAACCATTAGAGAGATGCAAATCAAAACAACAAACAGATATCATCTCATAACAGCAAAGATCAAAAAATTAAAGAACAATAAATGCTGGCGGGGATGTGGAAAGACTGGGACGCTCCTGCATTGCTGGTGGGACTGCAAAATGGTCCAACTTCTCTGAAAAGCAATATGGCGTTTCCTCAGATGAGTGAAAATAGAAATACCTTATGATCTAGCAATTCTTCTACTTGGCATTTACCCACAAGACACATGAGCCATAACACGAGTAGACATATGCGCACCAATGTTCATAGCAGCAGTATTTACAACAGCAAAAAGATGGAGACAGCTAAAGTGCCCATCAGCTGAAGAATGGATAAACAAACTGGGTACATACACACAATGGAATATTATGCTACCCTGAAGAACAAAGAAGCTGTAAGCTAGCACATAATATGGATGAACCTTGAGGATATTATGTTGAGTGAAATCAGTCAGTCACAAAAGGAGTAATACTTCACAGGACCACTATGGTAAAAGACTAAGAAAAAGAACCCATACTAAAGCGGGGATGGGGGTGGAGGTAGGGGTAGATTCTGGTTATTATGATGCTGGGGGTAGGGGGAAGGGAGGGAGGGGAAGGTGGAGCACAGGGCAAGGATTAGACACAGGATAGTTTGGGTGCTGGGGAGGGGGACAATAAACAAGAAGGGGGAAGGGAATGGAAGAACAAAGCTGATGGGAAAGCAATTAGGTTTGCATGGGTTAAGTGGGACAAAGGTAAATAATGATGTATACACAACCTTGGAACAACAGGGCACTGGGATACAGGAATTGTAACATGGTTGGAATGGGCAAAAGGGGGGAAATAATGTTAAGATGCTTCCAGGTCTTTTGAGAAAAAAACAGCAAATTGATAAGTCAACTAGTAGTATCCTTACGATCAACTGTTTAAACCAAGACATATTCCCAGCAGGGCTTTTATCTGTGCTTTAGGGAGTCAAAAAGGTAGCCTTGCCCAGCTACTGACTCAAATAGAGTGAAATGGGATGCAAAAATTAGCTAAAGAGAAGCGGAAGTCTTCAACTGTGAGCACTAGCTTGATTTTCAAAATTTCTTTTCTCCCCTCCCCACAACACTTTTCATAGACTTTTTTTTTTTTTTTTTAAGGATAATCATGGCATAGCCCTATAGATACTGAACTATGTGCATCATTTCTTGTTTTCTCCATTATACCTGATATTCCTAAAACAGCTTGATTATGGAATGGCTAACTTTAACTATGAAATACTTTATTACTATTTATCTTGATTTAAAAAATATATAGAGAACAAACAAGATGGCGGATCGGCTGGACGCATAGCACAGAGCTCCGCCAACAACAACACAGAATACCTGACCAAGCAGGTTCAGGGGCTGGTCCCAGAACTCTGAACCGCATATAAAGGAATACTTAGAAGGTTGGAAGGCTCACAGCTGGGGGAATCTGTGGCAGAAGCAAGAAATCTATTGCTTTCTAGTCCGGGCTGCTCGGCTGCGCCAGGAGCCGCCATCTTGGGTGAGACCACGTGGGGGAAGGATCGGAGCAGCCACAGACGCCTGGCAGAATCGCTGAGATGAAGGTGTGGACATTCTTTTCTTTTGGAGTCTGTTCATTGGTCCCTTGCTGTCTGTGCACCTCCATTCTGGTGACTATAGGGGAGCCTGAGCTAGTGGGCACCCCA